ATCTTATGTTAGCATTGAGCTAATACTCTGTCACTCTGCAGGGTTACAGTAGTCACTGCATGCCAGTGCATCACATGCATGAGGGACGGGCACCTTTCCGCCCACTGGCACCCCGCCCCTATGTACGGCCTATGTCTGGCATGGCTGTGAGCACACAAAAGCACCCTTCTCGGGGCGCGCTAAACCCATGGACCCCTTTGAACCTGCTGGGAATCACATCTCAGTAGCACCGAGAAGCTTTGAAGGAACAGTGTGTGTGTTGGGGGGGGCATTGGACATGGGACAATGCTTTAGGCCAGTGGTCACCAACCTTGCTACTGGTGATCTGCCACCCTAGAGAGCTTAGGTGCAGCCCAGAATTAGCACACCTGACATGTTATGTCGAAGCTAAAATTAGTCTCTAATAGTGAGATGCTATTGAAGGGCAAGATAATCAGTATCAGGTGTGTTAAATAAAGGGTTGCACCTAAGATCTGCAGGATGGTAGATCTCCAGGAGCAGTGTTGGTGACCACTGCTTTAGGTATTACATCTGGAATAGACACTGCAGACAGCGTTCCTGGGAGTAGTGGGGGTGGGGGCCCTTTTCACACTGCAGAGACTCTCCTGCTTGAATAAGCCACTTAGAAGGTCGATTGATCAATCGATCACATGGTCAATTTGTCAATTGGTCAATTAGGCTAGTAGTGGAGAGGAAGTCATAAGTGACTGCAGCGGTCAGGTAAACTTTTCTGTTTCCTTTTTTATTCACTGAGGGTTTGATTGGAGGATGTGGAGGATCCTGAGTTCCCTCAGCTCTCACATGTGCTGCTTTTCCACCTCAAGTCATCATTCTTCTGCTCCTGAGCATCTTAACTCTTTTTCTTGCATCTGTGAAGCCCACAATCTTTAAATGGTCTGTAACTGCCATGTGTTCGCTTTGTGAAGCTGCAGTACAGTGGATGTGTTCGTCCTCATCAGCTATATGAGCCAAGAAAATGATTGCAGTACTCCCAGGAGAGAGGATATGTTTTCATTTGCCGTAAATCTGATTTGAATTGACCGCATGTATCTTTACGTATTTAAATGACGGTTGTTGGAGGTTTGGACCCAGCTTCTGGTTCATCTGTCTTCCCTAATGGCATATATGGTGTGTTCTCGCTCCAGTCTGTTGGTGCCATTTGTATTTCTTCATCGCCGAGCATGTGGGCACCTTGTTACTCTGTGTGTGAGGATGCTCTTTTTGCCAGTCATCTGACCAGATGTCGTCAGCAGTTGGCTTTCCTTGATTTTCCTACTGCGATTTGGTATCGGACATGTTCAGGATGATAGGTGGGAGCTTTGTTAGCAGGCGCTTGGGATTCTGCATAACGGCGTGAAGAGATTAAGGCCTCCATCCCTGAATCAGGAGCCTCAGAGGCCTAATGGGGAACAGAAGGGGCACGTAAACGGGGTCTGCTCGGATTTATGCTGTGCTGTCAATATTTGAGGATGGTGTTAAAAACCCGGCCCCATTAACAGATGGCAGCCGGCCGTGTGCTATGCCTATGTCTGGAGGTGTGTGTGCGCGTGTGTGTGTCTCCCTGCATGCGTGTGCCCAGAGTGGGGACAATTGGCATCAAAAGGCAGAGGACCCCAGCTGAATCTATGAGGTTTGTGATCACTGGTGGCTGGAAGAATTCACAGGGCAAGCTCTGCCCATTGAGGCCCGCTCATTGTTTTGTTGCCCTGGCAGATTTCTCACTTGGAGCTTTTACGGCGTGGTACATTAGCAGGATGCCTCTTGGACAGTGAAGTCTGAGGTCACGTGACTGTATCCGTACCCATACAGTTGCCAGATGGGGCGCCCCCTGCCAGCTGGAGAGGGTGGATCTCTTGCAGTGGCCGGGATTCTCTGCCATGTGCTTCCACATTCCTCCCCATGGAGATTCCCCAACCAGTGGCTGGATTTCCGACAAGATCAACAAAAAAACATAGCCAAAAAAGGGGCTTTATGCACCCCTCTCGAGGGCACTTCGGGGATGTCCTGAGCTGCTCTCTTTCATTAACCACCGTCCCATTGAGATGGGTCTAATTGCATTGGAGACGATTTAAACAAAGCTGTAAATCATCCAGAAATGGTGGGATGGAGAGGGAGGCGGGCCTCGTGGAATAATGACGTGCTTCACTGACACACCTACCAAGGTAGACCGGACCAGAGTGCCCAGCTTTTCCCAGGAGACGTGTGTCTAAAAGGCGGCCATTTTGCTTCTCTCTATGGGGCCGTTTCTGCGTGATCGCTGTCTGATGCTAGGGCAGGTTAGGACACGTTCCCCTGGTCCTCTGCCTTCCCACCCCGTGTGTGATTGAGGGAGGTACGGCGCCCCTCATGGGAAATTAAGGCCCTGCTAATGTAGCGCGGAGCTTGGCTTCTCGTTTTTCATTACTACACATGAACTGCTGCGCTACTCCGTCATAATGCAGCCGAGAGACGGACGCTGCACCATCTGCTGGGGGACCATCGCCGGGAGGAGAGCGGTGCCCCCTGTGCAAGCACTGACCCAGGGGTGGGCTTCAGGCTGTTTGCCGGGCCAGGCCTGATCATCCGGTGTAAGGCTGATCATCCGGTGTAAGGCTGATCATCCGGTGTAAGGCTGATCATCCGGTGTAAGGCTTGGGCTGAGGGACGATTCCATCACCAATGGCTGACAGACATCCTGAGGTCGAGCCAGCATCGAGATTTAGTTGTATTGCGGTGTAACTGAGGATTTAATCTCACCTAAGGGCGAACTCTCCCATTCTCTGCTGTGTCTTATCAAATAATTCCTAATCATTATATTGTTATTAGCCCTTTTTCACCCTTCCTCACCCTGCACATTTAACTGACAATATTTCATGTTAAAACTATAATCAATAAATTATTAATATTGTAATGACTAGAGGAAACTCCTGCTGATTTATTGTGACATCCTGGCTTTATGATCCTGATTTTCCATATTGCATTTGAGTAGCTCTTGTTTAGGCCAATTGCCTGGCTGGACTTGCTTACTTTTGTCTGATTTGTTAATAATAACCATAAAAGACCAAAAAAATATATACTATAAGTTGAAAGAAAGCAATGTTCCTGACCACACCTTCCATACTTTTTAGGCTGCATTTTTGCTAATTAGCAAATTCTATTTGCGAATGAAAATGATTGGCTGGAACTGTGATTGTTGAATTAATAGAGTGCAGTGAGGAGTCGGCAGACCACGCCTCACACCTCCTCCCCCCACCGCTCGGTGTCCCCATGGGCTTCCATTGCGCCTGTGTCGCCTTCCCCCCCACGTTTTCTAGTGACTGGGTCTGTCAACGACATTAAAACATCTCTAGCAGAGTGAACATAACCATGAGTCCCAAATCGCGCACTTCAGTATTTAAACTTGCTGTTTTGAGTGACTAAGCAGTCTTGGGCATTTTAGGTCCAGAAGCTACAGATCCAGACTCTGGTCCAGATTTTTTTTCTACCAACCAGCTGAGCACTCTGTGACTTGGTCTGGATTTGTAGCTTCTGGACTTGAAATACCCAACATTTTCCATAAGTGCATTTGGAGGAAAAGTAAAAAATGAGCGGATGAGTAGGCAAAGATGGGCTGTGAATGGGCTCAAATGTGCAAGAAATAGAAACAGTAATAAATTAATAGTAATTAAGCACTTTATGAATTTATGAATGATAATTAAAAAGTGTAAAAGTGCCTTATAAAATGACGGCACCTTTACAAGACAACCCACTCCCCACCCCCCATCTTATCGTCTATTGCAGTGTTTTGACTGTTGACATTGTGTTATGCCGGTTAGGCAGCCGTCGTCAAACCTTAATGTGGTGTTTTTAGGATTTGGAGGAAGAACACAAGTGATTGTAATGATGAACACAGATGCTTGGTGTTCGCTCAGACCATGCAGATGCTTCCTATAGCTGCTCCTCTGACACACGGGTGTCATGTTAGCCCGGGTGTATCCCGGGAAGCACACGGCACGAGGGGGGAAGGCGACACGCGCGCAATGGAAGCCCATGGGGACACCGAGCGGTGGGGGGAGGAGGTGTGAGGCGTGTTCTGCCGACTCCTCACTGCACTCTATTAATTCAACAATCACAGTTCCAGCCAATCATTTTCATTCGCAAATACAATTTGCTAATTAGCAAAAATGCAGCGAGAATAGAGTAGTTTCGCTGGAGCTCAGATGTCGCATGTTGAGGAGTGGCTGCGTTTGGAGGAGCACAGCGGGTCGCCTTTCCCCCTGTAAACATGCCAGATTGTGTACCAGAACAACCAGAGAGGACTTCCAGATCACAGTTAATTAAGGCAATAAGGAGAACATTTTCAGCTGCAGATTGTATGTAAATCAGTTCATTTCCACCTACATAATCCAAGGCAGTATTAAAAGGTTTGTGTAAACTGGCGTGTTACTGTATTGCTCATAGGCAGCAAAGGCAGGGGCTCCAGAATGTTTATTAGTATCAGAGTTGGGGGTGTAAAATTGGTGGCTGTTTATAACAGAGTGTCCTTGTTCAAACCCAGCTGTTGTGTTCAGTATGCTCCTCCACTTCAGGTTGTTGATTAAGGAATCGTTAAGAAACATGTAATCTTAAATGAGTCTTGCTGCTATCTATCATTAATTGGCAGTGTGCATCATCTGCTCGCAAAACAGGGTGGAACATTCTGGAAACCAGGTCTAGGCAGCTTGTATTTGTACCAAATTATTTAATGGTACAAACTTGCAGAGCATGAGACAGAATACACACGGACTGCACCTTTTATTTAGCGTTTTTAACATGCGTGGTTTTGCCTTTAAAATATTTCTTGAAAAATCATCTTGCAGCAAAGTGCAAGTGAGTGAGATGTTTAGTGAGATGTTATCAATCTGAATGTATGTATAAGAAGCACGTGGTAAGGTGGGGACAGCAGATGTGTCAGCCTAGTGTGTGTTTAAAGGTCAGGCCGAGGCAGGGTGTCACGTGCTGCATGGCCTGTCCCTCACCGCATCTCTCCGTCTCTTCCTCAGACACATAGAGAACTGGACGAGCCTGCCGACACTGCGGGACGTTGACATGGAGCTGTACACAGGACTCCAGAGGCTGTGAGTACGAGCATCAGCACTGTCCCTCCCCACCTGGCCCTAATACGCCAGCCTGCCTGCGAGATCCCACCTAAAATCTTGCTGGGAGTTGCTGCCTGCATATGCCGCGGTCACCCTTCACCCAAAAGTCTCCTCGCTGCGGCTTTGTCTTTCTGGAATCGCACGTTCCCCTGTTGCTCAAGCCTGTCTCCAATGGAGGCCACCGGTCAGGCTGTCAGCTGCCCCCCCCCTGCCAGCAGCCACTTTAAGTGTTCGCCCCATGTCTCTCTTCAAACTGAATGGGGAGCTTAAGGCCTGCTCACATTGTCAGCACCCCCCTCTTCTGTGACAGTGATCTGGGGCTTCACCTCTCCACCCCTTATCATTAGCATTCAGTTCTGGTCGGGTGGGACTTCTGCTCTTTTTTAGGAATGCACGGTTAGATTTTTCAGGAAATATATATATATATATATAAACGTCCTTTACAGATTTCTGTAGATGAAACAGAATTGACCTGTACCTCAACCCTACCGCTTGTTCTGTCCAGATCTCCCTGTTGGCAGTAACTGAAATGTAACTGAGCAGTGAGCAGTTACCATGTAGTATGACAGTGTTCTGCACCATAAAGATCTCCATGAAAATACAGACATTACAGAACTGAGGATAAAGTTAGCGTAGCATGTCAATGTGCTCCACTCTAAAGATCTCCAGGAACTAATAGACCATCATCACAGATCATGTCCACATAAAGGCAACTCAGACCAATACATTTAACTACTCAAACTATAAATTCAGCCAGTGTTATAATCTTAACCTTACCTCCTTACTTCGTAAAGGTTTGTTTGGGTGAATTCACTATGGCTTAACACTGTGTGGTGTAACTTGACATTGGTGTGTGCTGCTGTGTCTTTCAGGACGATCATGAGATCGAACCTGCAGGTGATCCAGTCGCGCGCCTTCGCCCAGAACCCCCACTTGCGTTACATGTAAGTATGTGACCCAGGCAGAATGAGGCTGGTACCGCGCTCTACTTCCCTTCCGCAGACGTCTCTGTTCCCCTCCTGAGCCTGTGAGAAATCTTGAGGGAGCTGTGAGGTATCGATGGGACTGGTGATACCGCCATTCAACCAGCTCTCGGGAGACTCTACTAAAGCAGGTGCTTCAACGGACAGATTCGGAAGGAGAGTAGCTCTGGTAGTTAGGAAGTACAAGAGGAAGTGTAGTCTTGGTTGGCTTGGGGCCCGGGGGTGGACTGACCTTCATATAAATCAGCACAGCCCCCCTCCTCAGCATTCTCCTGTCCCTACATGCATTGGCAGTCAAGTGAGTAATCTTGAGAGTTCTGCGATGGATGTGATCCTCCTGAACGGAGTTATTTATCTTAATAAATTGGCTCAGCCCTATACCGACTCATCTGACGATGCAGACAACTCCACCGTTTGTGTTCGGAATAAAATGGGTGCTTGCTTTTAAAACCCATATGGCAGCCAAAATGCCGTCTTGTCATGTGACAGTCAGCTATTTCCCAATTCTACCAGGATAAATACTGCAGGAGAATGAATTGCACACCGTTACCTGAGAGGTAATATCGGCAATCTTAACTGTCCATCATGTGGCAAAATCGCTCAAGCTGTCTCATTGTGTTTTTGTCCGCGTGTTTTTGTCCACGTTTGATGGACGCAGAATCGTTGAGTCAACAAATGGGAAGCTGTACTGGGAAATAATATTATAATAAGAATAATTGGGGAAACTACTCAGAATGTGGAAGCTACCATATCTACTTACACGGCCCAAAGTGTAACGAGGGTGTGCCGTTTTGCTGTCTGACGAGTTTCAGAAGCTGACAAGGTATTGTGACCGGTGGCATAATCTTTCGTGACCTGTTATGACACGCAGATTTGGAGTATTTCTGACAGTGTTGTGAAGGTGTCAATGCTGGTATTTAGCAAACTTTAAGACCCTCCTTCCCTGTGTTGTGGATGGGGTGGAGTGCTTGTTGGGGGACACATGCGTAAAGTTTCCTTTCTGGGTGCTGGGCAATTCATAGGGGTACATGGGCGCAGTCTGCTGCCCCCTCAGAGAGTTCAGGCGCCAAACCAGCACACCTTGCTCTTGGGCTGGAAGGGTACTGGAAAGGACCCTCAGTGAGCCATCCTACAGCATGTGTCAGCCTGGTGCAGACGTCCATCTATTTCTGTATTGTCCAAAATTCCCCTATATCCTGTATTTACTGTTATCAATCCATACTGCACGTGTTCTGTATCCTATTATACCACACTACGCTCTGTTTAGTATGCACTGTACATCACTGTACTGCACTGTAAAGTACTGTACTCTACAATCACCCCATATTCCCTACATGTACAATCTTAATTGCACTGAACTGTACTCTACTTTACATAAACCCCATTGTACCCTACATGTACTGTAACTTACCTGCAGTGCACCATACTCTACTGGATTCTACATAAACCCCATGCTACCCTACATGTACTGCAACTTACCTGCAGTGCACCATACTCTACTGGATTCTACATAAACCCCATGCTACCCTACATGTACTGCAACTTACCTGCAGTGCACCATACTCTACTGGATTCTACATAGACCCCATGCTACCCTACATGTACTGCAACTTACCTGCAGTGTACCATACCCACATAGCAAGTGATTCTGGGCCAGATCCGCCTGCGTCCCCTTAATTTCGGGCACCGGTGACATCCGGGTAGGAGAGTCTGCACCAGAATCTGTCCAGAGTTCTAAATGATACTGTTGGTCTGTATGCAATCTGCAAATCCGGCAGGCATTCGCCTCGCCGTATATGTATGATCACTCACTTACCAGATGCGCAGCTGATGCATTAAGAATCTGAAGGACGATCGCCCCACATAGCGAGATGAGTCTGAACCGGGTCTAGGCCAAATGTTGTTCAGAAATTGCCGCAGATCCGTAAACCGGATCTGGCCCAGTTGCTCTGAATTTAACTTTTGACTCTGGTGCCGATATGGGCCAGATTTGGTAACATTCAATGTAACTCTGGTCGACATGTGGCCCTTATCTGTTTCAAATCCGTAAAGCGGATTCAGACCAGTATTGGTGCATAAAGACACTGGGCCAGATCTGGTTTACGTATCTGCGGCAATTTCTGAACAACATTTGGCCAGATCTGGTTCAGACTCCTCTTGCTATGTACTGCAACTTACCTGTAGTGTACCATACTGTACTGTATTCTACATAAACCTCATACTACCTTACATGTACTGTAACTTACCTGTAGTGTACCATACTGTACTGTATTCTACATAAACCCCATACTACCTTAAATGTACTATACCCTACAGTACTGTGTGTCACATGTGCTCCACCCTGCTGTTGCCCACATATACTGTACCCCTACTGAAAATCCGATTACAGCCGTGATTCTTCCTGTAAGAGTCTCTTTGCATTACACGCGCTCGGCTTAGCGAGCGATTGCACTTGGATCCCGTGTTATCTGTTTCGGTAACCGTTTCTCCAGACGCCGGCTTTCAGCGACGGCTTTTTAATTAATTCCGACTGGTCTCGCAGTAGCAGAGGCAGCCGCTGCCTGTAAGGATCCCGCGTGTCCCTCGACGCCGGCTGGCAGGCACAGCTCGCGAGCCCCGCCAGCGCTGTGCTCATGTGCCACTTTTCTTCTTTGCACCAATGGAAATTTGTTTTTAAATGCTTTTGATAAAAGGCAAGGGAACGAACAGATAAAGGGCAGCTTTCAGTCTCTCGACTACGCATTTTTTGATCTTTGCCGTCCGCCAAGGCTTTGATGTGTCATTTTCCGAGTGTGGTGAAGGCAAGGTTACTGTTGTGAACGACAGATTTTCTTTTGTTTTAATCCTCATACGGGGGTGGGGGGGCCGATAAATCTCAAGGAGCCGCCGTCGCCATGGAGCCGTAAAGGTCACTCCCCCCTAGGGGTGAGTGAATGTCATTGTCGTTAAGCCTTTCATCCGCGGTGACGTGTCCCCGCTTCAGAGTGCTGCTCTGACGCCGGCCTGCAGGGCCGGCCCCTCCCTCGCCTCCCGGCCTGATTCCTTCGAGGTGATCTTTGGCCCCTGGAGCTTTGACTGAGTGTTTGTGTCCAAGATGATTCGCAGTCACTCCATCAAAGGTCTGGCTCCCGGGGGCAGTGCAGAAATCGCATTGTTTTAAAGTCGGTCTCCCAGGGACGCCACTGATCGCACTTATGAATGCTGTCAGTAGATATATACACCAAAAGATATATACACCAAAAGATATATACACCAAAAGACAATTAATTGATTTTGTCATCTAAGACATTTGCATTTGATTACTCAAATTATGCCAGGACACCTTCAGCAATATCAAGCTTATTAGTGTTTTAGAGAAATAGCAAAAGAAGATCTGGTTGGGATGGTGAACAGAACCACGTGATTGGTTGTGACAGATGTGATTCCCTTCATTCCTTGTGTAGGGTTAGGAGACCATGAGCTGCAATGTGCTTCCATTAATGGGTTTCTCTTATGCTTTGTAATGGAACCAGCTCGACTAGTAAGATAACATGAATTATTTTTAATAGAAAGAAACAAAGGCTGTAAGAAACAGCTAGCATGTGGCGATTTATCGCTTTCTAGCAGTCTATTTGCACATCTGTAAGCAGCCTGCAGATTGCAATTCACCAGTTTGCTCAGCTTCACTTTATGTCTGTGTAAGAAGTGGCATAGAACAGAGTTAAAACAAGACAGACATTAAAACGATACCTACCGTAAACAGGGTTTTAAGTCCCTTTTTTCAGCCTAAGTAAAAGGGGAGAATACCTAATGCAAAAGCTCAAAAGAGCAAAGCAAACATAACCTTAAAGTAAGAAATAGGCACCTCAGCAGGAGCGCATCCTTTCCTGCGAAATCTACCCAGCTGGCCCTGTTTTCCCTAGCAGTGCAATCAGGGCTGGCTGGGTTTCATTACCTGACGCATTTGCAAACATGGGACATATGATGCATCACCATAGTAACACAGAAGGCCAACCAAAACCCAGCCGTGGCTCTCGGGGAGATATTATAAATCTAGCCTTACAGTTCTCGTTATGAGTTTCCCTCAAAGATGTATCAGCGATATATCAGTGGCTTCAAGTCCTTATGCCTTTTCCATAAAAAGACGAAGAGTTGGCGTAAATTTTTATCTCTGCCTCTGCAATGAAAAAAACAATAAAGATATAGTAGAAAAAACAGGAGAGCTACCAGCACTGACCACCAGGACGTCATGTTGCTGAAAGTGGTTCTGGGGTCCAGCTGCAGGCCAGACTCCCCGAACCTGAACCACAGGGCAGCATGTGAGATCGCCACTTGAAGCTGGGACCTGCTGGGCTTTCTCCCGGGTGCCCTGGGTACGGAAAGCCCCAATGGGGGTGGCAGGTTCTAGAAATGGTATTTGACTACACTGCTGTGCGAGTAAGATGAGAGTCCGTGTGGAACGCCGTTTGCCGGGCCTGGCAGGTTAGGGCATATCATAAATGTGGCCATGCCCTCCCGAGCTGAGGAAGCGAAGGCGGCCCGCATTTCCACTCTGCTTTGTTCACTGATGGGTTCTTGTAGCTGCTGATGTGCACATTCCTGTAGATGACCACTGGTAACAGAGCAGTCGTAGCACTGCTAATGCGGCCGTCTATAAAGGAGTGCGCTTTTCCTTCTGCTCTGGAGAGAGGGACCATGTTCTCCACTTTTTTGAGCACAAAACTCCCCCTGCCAGGAGGGGCTGCTTTCTAGTTCTGGAAACATTGCTGGCTGGCTCACCCTCTGGATTTTACAGGTTGCTCCTTTCAGGAGTCACTACTGACGTGGCGATGTGTGGCTGTGTGGGGAGCGATGACACGGTGACTGTGTGGGGAGCGATGACACGGTGACTGTGTGGGGAGCGATGACGCGGTGACTGTGTGGGGAGCGATGACGCGGTGACTGTGTGGGGAGCGATGACACGGTGACGTGGTGACTGTGTG